CACCCACCCTTTCTTTGGGAGCTCAGATCCAAGGGACACCCACCCTTTCTTTGGGAGCTCAGATCCAAGGGACACCCACCCTTTCTTTGGGAGCTCAGATCCAAGGGACACCCACCCTTCCTCCGGGAGCTGAGCCCCGTGGCAGATGAGGGCTCCCTGCTCTGCCACCATCCCGTGGGCTGCAATCAGAGCCCTCCTTCCCTCCTCCCCAGCTGAGCATCACTTCACTGGCCTCCGAGGAGAAATAAAGCCCAGAGATAATCAGTTCAGTTGCTGTGGACACAGACGTTTGGCTAAGCAGGAGATTCATCTGTTTTAGTTGGGACGGGAAGAATAAACACGGAGCTCCAGGAAATAACTCCCTGCCTTCCAGAGCAGTATCAGCTTCTGCAATTTGCCTTTGAAACCCCAGAAGTACATGAACAAAGTATCATCTTGTTGTCTACAATCAGACTGGCAACAACACGATGATTAACGTGCCTTGAACTCTCCATCCTCAGCGCAGGAGACTGGAATTTTATCTTCCAGTCTGTGTCTGGACTAGCAAAATAAATGAATTGGGACTTTTCTGGGCCAAACCAAGGTATAGTTACACGTTACTTGGCTTTTAAGTAACCATCACTTTCATTTGAATTGCAAGCAGCTTGAATTCACCCTGACAGACTCAGACCTTGTCTGACCAGTGGTTTCCCTTAGTCATAAGTTTGGTGTGTACCAGAATCTGGAAGTCTGCACATGATGCAGAGAGACAATCTTAGTCCAAGTACTGAGTTCTCAGCTGAACAGATCACTAGTTTAGCAAACAGGGGGTAAGTTTAAGCTGGAGGCACAGGAGAGCAAGGCCTGTGCTAACAGCAATAGGTCTACACCAGACCTGAACTCTGCAAGAACTCAAACGAATCTGAGCCATTAAACAGGGTTTATTTCTAGGGAAGTAAGGCAACCACTAAAATACTACAGGGGTTGGGACCTCAAATATAATTATAGCTCCATTCCCTAAAATAAGGGCTGTGTCAGCCCTTTTACCAGAAAGAACATGCAACTCATTTGTTTAAACTGAGCACTCATCAGACTTCGCATAACGAGCTTAGGACTGGAAATCCAATCACATCCCAGCCTCCACACAGCCCCACCTTCTGCCCCTCCAAAAACCCAATTTGATTCTGTTGCTCAGGCTGTTGGAGGGGTAGGGGTGTTTAATATCACGACAGAAGAGTTTAAGCAATGCTTTGGTGATTAAAGCCTTGACTTAACTGCCTGTGTCCTGGGAAGGGGAGGTACGAGTGCACTAAGCCCAAATACCTCAGAGTTAGTATTTCCATCCTGAAACGGCACTGACCAGCACACCCTGCTACCAGGGGGAGTCCAAGGTGGTTTCAGCAGTCCCTGGGAGGCTGTTGAGTGATCACTGCCCTCCTGGTCCCTCTGCTCCACTCCCCACAGTGCCCAGAGCCAGCTCACCCAGAGCAGCGGGCGAGGGCTCCAGGGATGAGTTACCCACCCCAGCACCCCACTCACCACCTTCAAAGCTCCCCACAGACAAATGAGGCAGCTTGTTAAAACAGATCTCCAGATATGCTGCAAGGGTGAGGTCCTGCAGCTCCCAGGGCCGGGTCCTGCTGTCCCACAGCCCTGGGAGCTGCCCCAGGGCCACGGGCACTGCCTGACAGTCACTGGCTTTTCACAAACAAGCTGATAAAGTCAGATATTAAAGCCCCAGCGAGTCCCTGCCAGCACAAGCCTCCTACCAACAGGCTTCCCGTTTGTTCTTTAAGGACAGGAGTGACATAATCCCCTCCTAACACCCTCTGAGGGCTCGGGGGGAACGAGGGGTGACCCACAAACTGTCCCCATGGCAACACTGGGCTCGAGCTGGACTCGCAGGGCTGGGATCTTCAAGCCACTGACACTTCTTTGTATTATCTGATATTTCCCTGATGTCATTGCTGCAGAGACACACAAAAACAGATTTAATATCCAGGGCCTTCAGCTTTAGAGTCAACAATCACAGCCACAAACAGATCAGCTATTCTGCCTTCAAGCTTATTATTTGTCACTAACATGTAATTATCACCACCAAAGAAAACAAAAGGCACAGGATATTGCTGCTGTCGCAACAGCAAGTCAGTTGAGCTTCTTTTTCAAACTGAGAAAGCCCATCTCTCCTGATGCAAGAAAGCCAAAAAGGACAAAAAAAAAAAAAAAGTTAAGAAGAGCATCTGGAAAGATAATAATCAAATCCATCGGTTCTTGCAAGGAAAATAAACAGAAAAGACACACAGTGAAATTACCAGACAGGCCAACATCACCATCAGCACAATTCTGCCGTGAAGCTGAATATTTCTGAGTTACAATTTGCCCTTCCCAATGAAAGGAGGAGTTAATCAAACTGCAGCAGCACCTTGCAGATATAACACAGCAAAACCACACCAGATGGAATAACCAAGGCCTGGCGAGGAGGAACCAAGCTTTAAAGTTGTAAAACTCCAGCCCAGCCCAGCCCCTTCAGTTTACAAAATGAAGCTACAGCAGCATCACACGCAGGGCAGGAGGCCCCGAGCAAGGCTTGTTACTCCACCCCTGAAATACTGAGCAGGACTTGCGTGTCTATTATGTTATTCAAGAAGCCTCTCAGCTGAAACTGTGAGCTGGGAAGAACGTGGTTCCTTGAATAGAGGAGCGCAGCTTTAAAACTAAGAAAAGAAAATTAGGAAAAAAAGCTAAAATAAATGAGTTTATGTGTTAAATCCACGCAGCAATCAGGGGAAAGAAAGAAAGAAGAAAGGGAGCAACCAAGTAAGAGAGATCAAGAAGCACCTAAAGAAAAGAGACCCCAACATCTAAATTCGGGTTTAATACGTTCACAGATCAGGCTTTCGATATGTTCCCAGACCACGGTTTGCACACACCCCTGCAGGACAGGGAGAGCTTACACACAGCCTACTCCCAGGATACGCTCAGAAACGGCCCTTGGCAGCAGAGCAGCATCTTCAGCACCAAGAAACTTCACCGTTTTCAGTTTAAACTTACTGCCAGCAGCCCCGCACCGGGCCGTGGCGAACACCCGCGTAATCCCTGCAGCTCCTGACCCTGTGACCGGGGTTTGCTCATCCCGAAAGCGGGCCCGCCGTGTATTTATGGCTCCGGCCGAGCCTGCCATGACTGAGCAGAGGCCTCCCCGCGCATCCCCCCGGCCGCCACACCCAGCCCCGGGCCGGGCTCAGCCCGCTCCCGGCCTTATAAAGCCGGGACCAAGGCCGGTCCAGCGGGGGAAGCACGGGGGGGAAACCCACGCGCAGGAAAGTTTCGGGACGTCCCGGCGCGAAGCAGCGAAACGCAGCGTCACCGGCCCCGAACGCGCGCTCCCCGCGTGCCGCGGCGGGGCCGCCCCATCCCGGGGGATCCTGCGGGAGCGGCGCCGGGAAGCGGCGGCTCCCCCGGGACCACCGCGGGCCCCCCCCGGAGCCGCCCCGGCCTCGCCCTCCCGGCAACAAAGCCGCGCCCCGGCCGCTCCCGCTTCCTCCGCCGGCTCCCGCGGGAGATGCTCCGGGACGCGGCGGGACCCGCCGGCCTCCCTCTGCCCATCCGCGCGTGGCTCCCCCGCCCCGCGGCCCCGGTGACCCCCCGCCCGCCCGGCCCCCCGCGCACGGGCGAGGCCGGAGCCCCGGCTCGGCGCCCGCAGCGTGCCCGGGAGTGTCCCCGCCGCCCGCAGCCCCCTGCCCGCGGCCTTACCGTGCGCGGGGCGCGGGGCAGCGCCGGTCGGAGGCGGCCGGCGGGAGCGGCTGTGCCCGGCGGGCCCGGCGGGAGGCGGGAGCGGCGCCGCGCTGGCCTCGCGCCCGCAGCACTACCCTGCCGCCC